CATGACATTCCTCCAAACACTCTTTTGTACGTCTGCTCACATGGATTCTGGCATTATCCTGTTGGAAAACCATTGGTTTCTCACGTAATTCCCTTGAATATGGAATGAGAATACTATCCAGAGCCTGAATATACTCTTCACTGTTCATTCGGTTCGTTACAAACTTCAATTCCCAGGTACCAAATGAAAAAAATGGACCCCAAATCATGACGGAGCCACCTCCAAAGTTTGTCCTTGAAAAAAACATAGGATCCTTCCTCAAATCATGCTAATAAGTATCAAACCCATCAGGACCATCCAGGTTAAACTTCTTCCCATCAGAAAACACGACCTGTTAGGGTAAAAATTTATAAATATACTGTAAGCCAAAAGACGATGATTCAAACGCGCGTATGTCAGATCGGTCGCAGTATGTCCATCGGCAAAACCAAGGCGAGCAACCTTGTGGCGACTTAGCAACATGGATGCTTTGGTCAGTTTAGACCTATTTATGATTCCTGAGCTCTTAAGTACTCGCCAAACAGTCATCGCTGACATAGATTCGGCCACATGTGCGGCCAAAGCTATACAAGCGGTTGGGTTGTTGCTGGCTTTCTTAATAATTTTGCGTTTATCGTGCGCAATTAGTAACGGTTTTCACCCAGTACATCTTCTTGATCCTTATTCTTCGGGGTTATCCAAAAAAATTTTAATTACACTTTGACTTTTTTTCAAAATTCGTAAAATACTCGAAATAGACTCTCCTGACTCGAAAAGTGAGAAAATACGGCCCTTTTCATAATAAGATTATTGTTTTCCAAGCGGCATCTCTTAAAAACTATCTAAATTTACTTAATTACAATGTCTGTAAAGCCAAAAGTCTGTTCCGCACTTAATAAATTCAAATTTGCGACAGTGGGCTATAATTATGATACACAAAAATGCAAGCAAAAATGCTAGCACAGAGCAAAAGTTAACGGTTCTTTCTTAGTTTTCCATAAATTGAACTAAAATTTTGATAAAATATACTGAACATGCTCCAGTCTATAATGTGCTGTAAAATTTATTTTTAAAAAACCTTAAAAATTTTGTTACAACGGGCTCAAAGTTTAAGTTGCAGGGTGGGCTATAATTATGATAAGCACTGTATTATTCAATTTGTTTATTTTTAATAAGCTCTACAAGCTTAGGGAAAACAATTGGATTGCTTGAAATTGACTTTCTACATTTTTTTCATCAAGTTATTGACTTCGTTTGGCCACTGTGCTGTGTGCAAGGCGCAGCCGGCGCAGAATGAATGAAACCCGTAAAAAAATGAAAAACAATTTTTTTTTTTTTTGCTTCACAATTTTAACTGTATTTATATATGTATATTATTCAATTTGTTTATTTTTAATAAGCTCTACAAGCTTAGGGAAAACAATTGGATTGCTTGAAATTGACTTTCTACATTTTTTTCATCAAGTTATTGAATTCGTTTGGCCACTGTGCTGTGTGCAAGGCGCAGCCGGCGCAGAGTGTTGCATCGACAAAAAGTAGCGACTGCACAACATCATCATTCATTTGCGCTCAGGTGCGTTTTTGTGCGCACTTCTGAGTACACACACACGCACACATACACATTCTCTAAGGCTGGTTTCGTTTACCATTTAGTTGTGTTTGCGTTTAGTTTGCCAGACAGGCTATGCGCCAGTCAGCGCCTTAGGCCAGACCCAGACCCAGACCCAGAGAAAGAGCCAGAGCCAGAGCCAGAGCCAAAGAGCGTCTCCCATGCATAGCTCGCCGCCAAGCAACAATTCCACATTTGGCGGTTGTTTGTCATTTTTAGAACTTATGGCCCATTTCGCTCGGCTGCCAGAGTCGTTGCCGGCTTTATCTAGTTTTATTAGGCACAATTTGGCCACAGCATCTGTGCTGTTAGCACAAGCACAAACATTCAGATCATTGAAATTTCAGCTAAACACACATTTCATCATCATTTGTAAATCTAATTCAATAGAGCTGAGGACAAACTCTCTGACGTGTATAGAAATTGTTAAAGTATATGTTCTCAAGAACGTCAATTTCTACACGTATATTTATACTTGACTATTTTTGGGTATTTTGAAATTTGAAATGTATATTTACATTTTAATGCAGTATGACAGCTTGTCGATCTAACAAAGTTCCAGTTGCTGCATAGTCGGCGTGTGAGTTGAAAGAGGTAGATAATGTAGGCAATATAGTTCTTGGATACCTTGACAGAGGCTTATCTACGCGTGGGCCATAACATTATTAAATAAATATAGAAAAAAAAAAAAAAGTATACATAAAAAAAAAATACATCAGCCTAGTACTTGGATGAGATACGAGTTTCTATCCCATTGAGATTGATTTGCTTAATAGGAGCTCGTCGTCCTTGTGCCGCTGCTCCTGGGCACTCAGCACTTGCTCCGCGCTGGGCAGAAAGCCGAGCCGCTCGTATTGGGCATAGACACGCTGCTGCAGCAGCGGCTGAAATCGCCAGATGCTGTCGTCTATGATGGGATTTAGGAGGCGGGTTTTATTGTCCGGCTCGCGGTAGTGCTGCAGCTGGGCATACTCGACGGGCACCGATTTCGGCTCGCACTCGCCCTTCTCCGCCCGAAAGAGCGGAAAGTGGTTGTGCAGCCCGATCACATAGCGTGTGGAGTGCAGGCACTTGGTGGCCGAATATCGATCACAGGGCTCGCTAACGCGCTCCACATGCTGCAGCATGTAGTAGAAGCTGGGCAGCTTCTTGTATACCTTGGGTCGTTCGGGGTAGGCGGGAAAGTAGACGTTGCGAAAGCAAAAGCTAGCCCATTCACTGCAGTTCCACGTCTCTCGCTGATAGTCGGGCACCTTGTACGCCAGATCGATTAGATCTGACCAGTTGGTGACATTGCCCAGCGGCATGATCACCTCATCCGTGTCAAAGGCACCAATATAGTCGTACTTGTACATGTTGCGATAGAAGCAGTCATTATAGGGTATCATTTCGTTCAGTATGCGATTAAAGCTGTCTGCCTGCATGACATAGTGCTGAAAGTGTGGGACAGCGTGCGGCTCGCCGCGTGCCATTGACAAGGGTCGCACCTCCACAAAGCCGGGACTGCTTTGCATATAGTCATTCAGTACTCGCGTCATGTTCGGATGCATCTGACTATCATAGAAGACCACCTTGCCGGCACCCAGAAGGCGCATCAATTCCAGCCACTCAATCAACCGCCAGGACATGTCTTTGTAGATAAAGTCCATGGACTTGACGCAGACCATAAATCGTAATGGTTTCCGTTGTAGTTGCGTGCTATTTGTTTGCTCCTGCTGCCGCGTTTGCGGAGCGTCTGTGGCATTTGCACTACTGTCATCCGGCTCGTAAATGACGCGCATCAGATTCCTGGGCTTGTTGCAAGGCTGCGTTACCAGCGACACCATTTCGGGTGCCTCCGCTGCGTCTGTGACGTTCGCTTTGGGCAAACAGCAGCTGAGGAGCGTTGGGAAGACATAAGGCGAGGCACCGCCCCAGTACCATATTAACTTGTGATCTGTGACATTCACGACAACCGGCTCGACGCGACCCTTGAACCAGATTTGGCAAAAGGTTTCCGGATAGCTGATCTCGCCACGCTTGCCATAGTGATTGATCATGGTTAGCACGCGCACCAGGGGCGCCTCGCTCATCGTCTCTCTGTTGTCGTAGTAGGCACCATAGATGTGGTAAGTGAGGTTGACATTCGTGAAAGTTTGCCAATAGTCGTTGCTGAAGTCGATCTCCATTAAGCTGGGCACTTTTCCGCATTTCGGAATGCCCGCCGGTCGACGGTGCATTTCCTCGAGCGGAAATGAGGGCATCTCCTTTCGTATCAGCTTCAGACGATCCGCCCAGCTGGGCTCTAGAATATGCCAATGTTTAATTAACCACTCAATTAACCACTATCGTTACCTGATGCCATTGTGACCTACCATCGCTCTTGTCCACCAGCAGCTCATCGATGATCACGAAGCGCTGTGGCCGAACTACCTCATTCGTGTTGTCGTAGCCAAAGAACACGACCACGATGAACAGCTTTATTGAGATGATCACGAATAGTATTTTGAGGAGGCGCACATGACCCGCCAACATATTGCGCTCAGTTAGATCTCCACTTGCTTGCTGCTGTATAGATGTCAACGAACTCAATTCCAATTTCGATATCGGTTTCGATTTCGATTCCAGTTCCACTTTGAATTCCAATTCACGCTTAACGCTCGATGTTTGGCTTGCGACAGCCACTGCTGAACTGTAGTCGGCTGCTCCGCTCGGATCACAGTTAACTCTCAGCCGAGTAGATTTCAGCAGCGCTTACGTCGACATAGTTGCCTTCACGAAATATTTGATTAAAATGTTTTATGTTATGTAGAGATAAACATACCAACTGCACACAAATAGATATGTTCTTCATCTATTCTTACTTATATTTCGCTTCTCTTTTTATGGAGCATTACCGACTGCTCTATCAGCGAGGTCTGTCAAAGCACTTTACTACTTATTTGTAGCCCACGTTTTCTGAGGTTTCGCTGTTATTTTTTGTCCTGAACACTTATGCTGCTTATATGAAAAATTATCTTTCTATTTTCAACTTTTCCGATTTTTTTTAATTTAGTTCGCCACAAATTTTCTACGAATTTTTTGTTTCTCTATATATATTATATCGACGAGCATTAGTATTTATGTTTTCTATTTACTTTTTTTTTTATGAATCTGCTCTATCAGCGAGGTCTGTTGAAGCACTTAACTATGTACTTATTTGTAACCCACGTTTTGTGATGTTTCTTCGTTGTCTTGTGTCCTAGGTACTCATGCTGCCTGCATGAACAAATTCGAGTTATATTTTCCACTTTTCCGGCTTGTTTTGAGTTCAGTTCGCCACAAATCCTCTGTGAAGTTTTTGCTTCTCTTATATTATATTGATGAGCATAAGTGGATTTCTATAGAAGGTCTTGCGGTTGCGATAAGAGCCGAATATTGCTTGACTTTTTTTTTTATTTATTTATTTAATTATTATTTTTATTTTTATTTTTTTGCGGTTGATTTTTTACATCGATCTGAATTACCTATAATATTATAAAATAAAAAAAATTAAAATTAATTATTTTATTAGTACGTATATATATCAGAGCTCAAAGCTATTCGACTGTTAAGTAATATTTTATTGTTGTTATTTTTTTTTTTTTTAATTTTCAAATTTTATGTCTTTTCCTTTGCTATATAGAATATAAATAAAATAAAATACCTTTTAATTGAATAGCTCCAAGAGAGACTGAGATGCGAGCTTTAGCTCTTACTGGTAAACCTGCATCCGATTGTTGTATATATGTATATATATATCACTTTAAGTCTTCTTTCTGTCACGTCTACTGTCCAAGAGTCTACTTATCGTAACACTCTTTTTCTGCAGCTCATTTGGATTTTCTACAACTCGAACATAAGCACGTTTTTTAGCAACTGCCCAGAAATGCGATGCGCTGTATCGTGGCCAAACTACCAACCGCATGACTGATTCCTGCTGCCATCAATGGAAGTGTATAAAGACATGTAGTGCTAAAAATTCTCAATTAGATTCCATGATGTCAAATGAAGGTAGATTCGATCTCAGTCGAATGTAATCTATTGAAACAACAGAGACAACAGATTAAAACAGTTGGGCAAATAGAAAATGAGTCCACATTGGGCGCTGTCAGATAACAGCTAACGGCTCTGCTGTTTGGCTGCCACACTCTGTTGCATGGCCAACACCGACAAGTTGCGCCATTGCGTGGCAAGTTGTGCTGCCTGCCAGTTGCCGGTTGCGTCTCGACTCGCACGGAACTCGGATGCGGATGCGGCTGCTGTGGAGGAGCTCGAAGGGCCCCTTAGAAACTATTCAGATGCGATTAGATTTGTTACGTTTGGTTAGCCAACATATGGAAATTGCCGTGGCGGAGCATATTAGCTATATGATACTCCCTGGCATATTACATAACCTGCTATTCAGATAGTTCAGGCTTTGTCATTTGCTAATTAATCACTGGGCTGAGAGCATTTAAATTTTGACATGCATAAATTAGATTTTCGATTTGATAAGCAGTTGTCTATTATGACTGCTATTCTTTGTATTATTATTGATTTAGTTTAACGGGACTTTAAATGTGTAGCACAAATTATTATTAGCCTCAAAACCTGTTTTGCCTCAGCCGTATCAATATTTATAGAACAAACATCGAGGTAAAAACCAGAAGTTTTTACATACAAAATTCTCCAAGTCGCATCTATTTACATAATTATTTTTTGCTCAACTATAATGTGTTCTTTCTGTCAAAGCTGTTCAAATTTGGTATTTTAACAACACAATTGATGAACTATAACAGACTAAGCCAGAAGAAAGGTCTCACTGAAGCAGCTGTTGGATTTTCTCGTTCACGATTTTGTTCTCCAAATTGCAACAATTAGGCGAATTAAATGCATTTGAGCAAAACGAATTGATTATATAATTCCATGCTATTTACAGCTTTGAATGTGCATTTTTCTTTATGTCAGTAGTTGCATGTTTATGAAAAACATTTCAAATTAGGACGAGCTGAGTCCATTCCGTCTGTCTAATCGTCTGTTCGTACGAATGCATAGATCTCGTAAGCCACAACAGAGACTGAAGACTATATATATATATATATATATATATATACATATATACTCGTGTACACCATGCGCAGTGCGAGCTTATCGTATGTTTTTCGTTAACTCACCTTACTCACTTACTATCTATAATAATTGTTAATTTAGCATCGTTTCTTAAGCTTGATTTGAATATTTTTAGATTTACCGTATATGAAAATGGAATTAAAGAACAAATTTAGTAATTTGTAGAATTTGGATACCCGGCCCCCTTTGCTCTAAATTTGAAATCTATTTTATGAAATGTTTCCACAGATATTTACAAATGATATATATAAATGACAAAACATATTTTAATAAAAAAAAAAAAAAAAAAAAAAAAAACATTTGTAATTAAATATAAAATATATTTTAAAAAAATTTTATTTTATTTTTTATTTTTACATTAAAAAAAAATAAATAAAATATTCTAAATATTATTGTAAATATTTATCTAAAAAAACATAAGAAATGTTGGTTAAGCCGATTCACATAGTCTGAGCTACTGCTTAGCTTTCCCAGTCTCTCGCTCCAACGAAAATGAAGCTCATGTTAGGTTAATCGTATTTATGTATGTCCACATCCACAGCATCCAGTGCTCTCTATATGCTGCTTATAACTTAAAGCTGCATGATAAATAGTTGTTTGCTGTTTATATGTGTTTATGTTAAGCCCGGATAAGCCGGTGCTGTAAATGTCATCACTTTTGACTGTCCGAGCCTGATCCGTTTACCGCTGAACACTTAACGCCGTCATAAAGTGCCGCCAGGGCCAAGAGAGAAAATGCTAAAACATTGCACAACAGACATAAAGTGCGCAAAGAAGTGCGCAGCTTGTGCCAGATTTGCTTTTAAAAAGCGCGCTGGGATTGAAATTGGCTGCCAGGCCAAAGGCAGTTCCCGAACCCCATACCCTCGCCCTCCTCGCTTTCAACCGACCCCAAAACGAACAGAATTCCCCCTCCCAAGCCCATCTCAATTCCCAGCAACAGTCGCTGGCCCCGGCCCAGGCTCAGGCCCAGACCTTCCAAATCCATACGCTGGCACAGAAGCCAGCTCCTTAACTCGGAGCAGTCACAACGCACTTACAAATGCGCTTTTAACTTAAATGACAGTCCTAGGAGGGGCGCCGCCTGCAGCAGCAGCAGCAGCAGCGGCAGCGGCAGCTGTGAAGCTCCGTTGATACATGATGGGGTCCCAGTGCCAGCCAGCAACGAGCGCCAGAAATACGCACTGCTATTTTTTACTTTAGACATTTCACAGTTGCCACCCACAGGCGGGCCAACTGCCTCATGTATTACAAGGATTTGATGTAAATATTGTATTAGTTGGGGGCCAAAGTGTTGAGTAAATTTATTGGCAGCACATAAATCGCTTTTCGAATAGACGAGGCGTTGGCGTTGCCATTGCTCTTGCTGCTGCTTTTGCTGCCACACCCACAGCCATTTGACAACGTCGCTCTCGTATCGTGTGGCCACTTGCCAAATACAAAAGAGTTAGTCAATTTCTAGGTGAAAGGCAAGGACTTGGAGCTTTGCATTAAAGCTTGCGATTGTGCACATAGTAATATAAATGTGAAGCTAATCTTATAATTAGTAGCAGCCAGAGCTTGCAGCGGACAGCGGTGTCCTTAAAAGGATTTTTTGTACTATAAATATACTATGAAAAGAAATTCATAAAATTCATAGAATTAATTAGTTGGGCTTTGCATATGTCTCTAGTACATGAAATGCGTTTTTTACAAATTGGTGGCGAAGAGGACGTGGCATCCAAAATCTGTAAATTACAAAATCGATCACCTGTATATACACAGTAAATCTGAAGTCTCTAGGTCTAAAAGTGTTCAAATTAGGATGAAAAAACAAAATCAATTTTTCGATTATTCTCGATAAAAAAGTTATCGGACGAGTTATCGCCAAAAATATGATAAACTTGTACTGCGTATGGTACACACGAGTATGCATGCCAAATTTTCTCTAACTCTCATAACTTCTGAGATCGACGCACTCATACGGACGGACGGACAGACGGACGCACAGAGCTATTCAGCTCGTCACGCTGATCTAGAATATATACACTTTATGGGGTCTGCCACTCCTCCTTCTGCCCGTTACATACTTTTTCACAAAACCATTATACCCTGATTTCCCATTTTCAATGGGTTCAGGGTATAAAAATCTACCAAACTTCAGATTCAGCTCAAGTTGCTTAAATATGTAAATAATATTAGGTTGCTATGTATTTATTATTTTACGATTTCTTATTGTGTATTGCTTGACTTCTAACCTGGCTTCAAGCATTGGCCATTAGACCAGCAAATGCTTTTTAAATTTATACTCTTTTGTTCTTTTGATAGAATATAATCTTTAACTTCTTTATATAAACATTTGCAGGCAAGATTATATATAAATTACTTGTTCATTGCACAAATTTCCTGATGAAGATTACCTCGGGCTCTGAGTAAGGAACATCGAGCTATACCTGGAAACAGAATCCAAGATGTGCCCAGAAACTACCTCGACAACCTACATTCTTAGAAGCGTAGCCCCAAGATCTTCTGTCCGACGCACTAGAACTAAGAGATGAGGCAGATGCCACGACCATCAAGACCTACCAGACCGGCTCTTGACTTGAAATCTACCATAGCCATATGATAAGGCAACATAATTAATATGATTAGATTCTATATACCCTTCAATTTATCAGCTAAAGCTATATCGAGAGAAGACTTGAACAACAAACAGCTGAGCTATGTAACAAATATTGATTTCATTGGGGCTGCAGGTATTTTTATGGTATATTTTAATGAGCATACTTTTGGGCGCAACAAATAATAAATAATTTCAACCAGCCCAGGTCACGTCTAATGCAATTTCAGCTCAAATTTATGCTAAATATATTTAATTTTCAATAATAATAATAACATAAAAAAAAAATAAAAAATAAAAAAATACAAACAAACACACACAGAGAGAATGTAAATTCAATTATGTGCAAATAAAACTTAATATTCATATATTTCAATAGTTACTAAATATGTGAGCCGTGGCCCGCTATGCTAATGCATTTTCCAAATCCGAATTCAAATCTAAATCGCAATCAAAATCCCTAAACACAAGAGCTCCCCATCGCCCCGCCCATACATGAAATATTCAAATGCTGACCTGTCTTCAAACTACTTTGAAATGCGGTTTACAATTTTTTGGCTCAATGCTGGACCATGTTGTTGCCATTGTTGTAGTCATTGTTGTTGCCATTGTCGTTGTTGTTGTTGTTGTTGTTATAGCTGCTGCGCCAATTTTAATTAACAAACAACATGGCTGGCTCATGTTGTTTTGTTCTGTTCTATTCTGTTTTGTTTTTGTGATGTTTTGCTTTCCTTTTTTTTCTATTTGTAGTTTTGATGTGTTCTATTTTGTTGCATGGCACTCGCAGAGTCAACGCCTAGAGTTATGCATAGCGGGAGAGATTGAAAGAGTGAGAAAGAGATAGATAGAGAGAGAGAGAGAGTTGATTCATTCTCTCTTTGTTTAAAGCTTATTTTTGTTATAGTTTCGATAAAACCTACACATACTTATGAGCATACAGAAATATTGGTTTATTGATTCGAATTGCAGTATCTTTTAAGCACTCAAAGCTAGTTTATAATGCATACAAAGAGGCGTGGCATGATATTTGAGGAAGTTGAATTACAAAATGTTTCCTTTAGCAAACGAAGACATCATTCATATTTGATAATAAGCTTTGCGGCGACTTTAGGGGAAAAATTTTGATTTTTGGATGTCAAAAAAAATTAAATAAAATAATAAAATAAAATAAAAATAAAATATTTTTATTTTTTTTTTTTTATTTAAACCGGCTTTTTACTACCTAATTGACAGCTTAACAAGTTGTACATTACAAAAAAAATATATATAAATATAAAAAAAAAATTAAAATAAAAAAAATTAAAATTAATAAAATAATAAATAAAAAAAAATAATAATAAAAAATTAAACAAAGCAAATTCTCTGTCCTGGTGTCAGTCTCAACGCATCGGCATAGAATTACCCCGGTATTATCCAGGAGAAGATTCGGTTACATTACTCTTTAAGATTACAGGTGCAACGAGTCAGCATCTTGGCTAGCAAATTCCGAGTATATAAAAATGCTGCTGGCACATCAAATACTCAAATTCAATATACCGTTCACAGCTCAAGCTCAAGATTGAGCTATTTGTCATTGCTCAATCCAAACAGTGACTGCTGTAAGTTAGTTTCCGCTGCAACTGGCCCATTAATTGACATTTGCCAGCTGATAAACGAAAATAAAGAGAAAATAAAGGCAAAAAGGAAGCAAAATGTTTCAAAATATGCATACTTAATATGCTAAATTGAATATATATGTAAGAGTGTGCTACTTCTTAATATTCAGTTGTCGCATCTTGCAATATGCTACAGAATGTTGCAACAGTATTGGCATTTAACAGGACGGGATTTGGCTTCCATTTGGCCGTTGCACAAATATTTGTCAGCCATGTCCTAGGATTTGTTGCCCTGCCTTGGACTTTGACATTTTTCATTTATCCCTTTGCAGCCAGTGGTTGTTGTTGTTGCTGTTGTCGTTGTTCTTGTTGTTGTTGTTGGCTGTTGATTTTGCTTGTTCGCCCAATAACCCCATTTAAACTTATGACAGCCGGAGCCAAATGAAACTTTGCTATTTTGCTTTAGCTCAATAACACTCGACATGAGCAAACAAAAATGTTGCCATTAGTTAAAGTTGGCTTACTTTAGCCCATTCCCACGGCCATTTCCTTCCGTTTGCCTTTTCTTCAGCTTTTTTCTTCGCCTCCTCCAATTCCTTCGCCTTCCTCTTCCCCTTCCTCTTCCTCTTCATCTTCTTCAGCTACTTTGGGTCGAACCGAGTGCCATAATAAGTTTGGAGCGCAACTTTGCACAGTTTTTGAAGTGCAGCTAATAAGAAATTCGTGAAGTGTTGCTCCAGCGTGTCGGCCAAGTGTATTGAGTGTATGTGTATATATATATATTTATATATGTATGTATGTGTGTGTGCGTGTGTGTGTGTGTGTGTGTGTGTGCATGGGGGTGTGTGTAAATATTTATTTTGAAACTCGTCAAGTTTTGCGTGCGATTGGAATTGAAATTGGGCTTTGCCCAGGACTCGTTATCCAACTCAGCATTCAGGCATGTGCACGTTGCTCGTTTGGTCAGCGCTCAGCTCAAACCATTTCAAATACCCATTGAAAAATGTTGCTGGGCTTAGGACACATATCAGAGAATGAAGATAAACAATGTGAGATCTGAGTCGAAAGTCTTCAAACAACAAAAATTACTTTAACTTAGCGAGCCCTGACTGAGTCAGCTAAGCCTTGACAAGCTAAAGAGCTCACATATAGTTTGACAATGATGATAGGGCATATCTAAGTCTTATCTAAGTCTGCAAATTTTTCCCAGCAATTTTGATAGATGGTATTTGTAAGTAGAGTTCGCCTGGCTCATGCAATGTTACGTGTTAGATTCACTTAGTTTTAGTTTCCTAGCCAATTGAAAGAGAACAAAAAATGATGCTTACGCTACATTCAATGAGCTCACGTCTCTGCTGCTGCTTTTCCATGGTCTGTAAGGGTATAATTACTGGCACAAGTTTCGCATAGCACACATATGCCAATCAAATTTAATGTTTATACTACAAAGGGAAACTCTTTGCAAACACCTCTCGACCGGTGTTGAGGTGAAAAAACATTGACTTCTTTTGGCTTTATAGAATTTTAAATTGAGCTACATATGGACAATCAAAATAATGTATATAACAGATTTGGTTTAGTTCTAGAATTTAGCAGCTTCACAGCTATATTAATTTATGTGACTCTTTACCATCTGAACGAAAATAAATGTAAACTCTAACGGACATTGGAAAACTAATCTATCACAGTCGAGTCTCGATAATTCGTAATTTAGCAATCGAAAATCGTAATAAATCGAAAAAAATTTTATCCCCTTAAAATCGAAAAAAAAAAAGTCCCCTTGCCATTTTGAATTATCGGGATTCTACTGTATTTTCTTGGAGGTTGGAAATTCTGCTAATCCACTTTGAGGAAAGCAGTTACGGCGCACTACTTCAGCAAAGTTGTTTTTTTTTTTTTTTTTTTGCAAATTTATAAGGATTTATTTTGAAATTGATTGATTTATTTATTTTTTTTTTTTTAATACAATTCTAAAAATTCTTTTTATTCATACTTTTATTTCACTTTCATTTATGCAGTGCGCTTAGCGTCTTACCGTCAGATCCATGTCCATGTAATTCTAGTCTAGTTAATGAAATTAATGTTGACTGCAAGCTAAAGAGGCCTAGATTTTTTAATCAAACATGACAGCCATATACATCTATGGTGTGTGTATTTGAGTCTTTCACACGTTCGTGTGCTTTGTTGAAACAGTTTCAATTAATTGTGTTTTTATTTTTTTGTTGTTCATTCTTTAAGTATAGTGTGCGACGCAAGGGAGATCAGTCATACAGTTCGTTTTTAAGAACAGAAATAATATTGTTCGAGTGTTGTGATAATCCTAAAATCAAAAGCAACAAATTTGAATTTGGAGCAAAGTACAGAGGAACACAAAAACGGCAATTGAGATCAAGTTAATCGCAGGCAAAGGTAGGTAAGTAACGAATCGATGTCTATCCTCGTCGCTATCGTGAATGGTGTAGGCTGGTGTCAATTGTTTCGTCATTTTGTGTGTCTTCGCAGAGTTCAAAGAAAGCATACAAAATGTATCCATCTAACTTTTACAAGATGAAAAACTTTGCCAATCCAAAGACCATGTTTAAGTCGTGCTCTAACAACGACGAGTTCTCCACGACGCCAGTGCAGAGCTGTTCGCCAGCGACCAAGAAGGCCAACAAGCCGAGCTCGGTCAGCGGCCGCAGCGGCAGCGGCAGCAGTAGCAGCGCTAGTTATAAGAGCGTGATGAATGCTACTTGCTGTAGTGGTGGCAGTAGCGTTTGCTCACCGCTATCCACACCTCGCTCCGATCTGAGTGGAGGCACCACAGATGGCGGCTATATGACCCCATTGGCGCCCCTAGATCCAGTTGGCACGGATACAGTCAGCTTTGGTGTGGCTAGTGGCAGTGAGGCAGAGCAAGCAGAGCCAACGGAGCCGCATCATCCTCTAAACAGTGAATGGACGCTGTGGTATTTGGAGACAGATCGCAGCAAGAGCTGGGAGGAGATGCTGCACGAAGTGGCCAGCTTTAACACGGTCGAGAATTTCTGGAGTCTCATAAATCACATTAAGACGCCATCAGAGATTAAAATGGGCAGCGACTATTGTCTGTTCAAGAAGGGAATACGCCCAATGTGGGAGGATGAGGCTAACGTTAAGGGCGGGCGCTGGGTAATCACCCTCAACAAGGGGAACAAAAATGATTTGGATAACTTCTGGCTGGACACGATGCTTGTCTTGATCGGTGAAAGCTGTGAATATTCGCATGAGCTGTGCGGCGCTGTCGTCAATATACGAGGCAAGAACAACAAGATCTCCATTTGGACAGCCAATGGCAACAACGAGGCAGCTGCTCTCGAGATTGGCGGCAAGCTGCGCGACGGCCTGCGCATGGAGAGCGCATATGTGCTTCAATATCAACTGCACAAGGACACCATGGCCAAGCAGGGATCGTTGGTCAAAACCATCTATACCCGCTGATTATTTGGCCCCGTATCACACGCTGGCTACAAAACAATAACCTACCCCCACCCTTCTCCCACAAAAAAAAAAACTCACAAGAAAAAAAGCAAAAAAAAAAAAAAAAAAATGAAAAAATTCAAATCATAGGTACCGCAAACATACTACATTTCTATTGTCCAAATGGATGTCAGTCCTTCTAGCAATGAATATTATATCAATTGTAGAATTGATGAAAATGCAACCCAAAGAAAAATACAGCAACTGAAGTGCTCAATCTACAAACCCAAATCGTCAGTCTGATAAAAAGGCAAATTCTAATTCCGAATGACGGCGACTAAATTCCCAGTCCATATCCGAAGTTCCGAGTCCATTTGAAATTTAACCATTAAGATGCTCAAACATAAATTCAAAATTGTATAAATTCCATGTCAATCGAAGCAAATCTATGTCAAGTGCATATTGGTGACAAGAAAACTAAGAAATGCAAGAAATAAATAAAAAAAATCATTGCAAAATCATTCACCTTTGTTATTCATATACTATACCAGATTATACCTCTTAGAAAGTGGCCATGTAGGCATATATATACATGAAGTATCTGCATCTGTATTAAAGAATTCCCTGGATCGCTGGCTTCCTGGAAATTATTATACTCATTCACGAAAGTGAAATAAGTATATTGGTTTTGTGCATGTCCCACAATTTTAGCAGATAATCGATATTTTGTTTTTTTTTTTTTTTTTTTTTTTTTTTTTTTTTTTTTTTTTTAAGGGTCATGTTTGCTTAATTTATCTTTTGATTACAGCTTCGAGCTGCTTCGAATTAGTTGAATATTTTAGCAGTACAGTTGATTGACACCCAACGTCAATGAGTCAGGCGCTTACCGCCAGATTAACCACGAAAACCTATTAAGACTTCTATTAACACCTTATCTTTAGCACACGTTGCTTAAATTTCAATCATAGTATGGAGCCATTCATATCAAGTTGCTGCTGTCATTACTTAATTGCTTTTGCAGAATAAGTTTTCCTATGGAGCTTAAAGCCTATAGAAAACGTATGAAACCCATCGTGTCCCATATAACTTTCTCTTTCCTGACTATTTAAGTCTCAGGCCAGCAATTTTGACTGTGAATATTTCTGTAGATATCGATAAGATCCACATGGAATATAATCAACAATCTGATAAATATAACAATGAGTCTAATGCGTAGCTGTGCTTTTCAAATGTATTTCTTTTATTGTAAAAGTATTCAATTAAAATAACCCAATTTCTGGACCTGATCAACCATGGCAGTAATCGAGTCCAAGAGCTCCTCGCTGGTAGGAAGAATCTGGGATGGGGGCAACAAGAAACCACTTGAACCATGTCTGGGGGGAGGACGCAGCTCATAGCAGAAAGTCATTCGCACACCCTGGGTGCCATATACCCAATCAAGAGTGGATCCAGATACAAGACGTGCAAAATTATAGATGCTCTTAGCTTCATACTTCGTATTATAGCGCTTTGAAATGGCAGAGAGAGCTGCTTTGGCCACTTGTTGGTAGTCTTTAATATTGTCAGGTGGCGATGCGGTGTAACCATTAGGATATATGAGAGCCTGGGAGAAGGAATGAAACGAAAGGTAAAGCTGAATCTTGTCCTTTATCGAAGCAATGTAGTTCGACAGTGATAAAGTCTCAATTTCAGAGAATGCGTAGGGTCCAGCGTATTGATCATCACAGGGACTGTTGTTTAAGCCCCATTTATTCCAGTGGAAGTCCCAGTTGCGGTTGGGATCGGCTCCAAAGCAAATGCCATAGGGTTTGCGGGTCTTGCGCCAAATGCGATTCGTTTTCCGACTGTAGACATAGCCGTCGGCATTGACATGTGGGACGATGTACCAGTTGTAGTTTTCGCCAAGCTGCTTGATAGAAGGCACATTTGACGTGAGTAGCTGATTGATGATGTAGGTAGCTGCCGCTGGAGCGATCCACTCTCGAGCATGAATACCAGCCTCGATGAAGATTCCAGGTTTCTCGCGGCCACTCTTGGAAATCTTCAAGCCCAATATAGAGCGTCCCTCATAGGTTTTACCAGCCTCGATCAGTGTAACAATGTTTGGGTTTTGCTTGGCCAATGATCGCATCCAGGCATAGGTGTCCTCCAAGTCATAGTAGTCAAACCAGTTGTATTCAGAGCTGGCATTACTCCTAGGTCTGACCTCTCCTTCAATCTCATCCATTGACTTTTGGAAGTCCTTGGACTGCAGTTCATATTTAATCTTAGCTTTACCCAGTATCTCCAGTAAATCAGGAATTTTGTGTGGGGCAACAACCATATGGACATCAGCTCCGACGACATGAGCACTATTCAGAAATATGATGGAGTCCGAAGATACCTTCAGATCTCTTAGCACCGCCAGTTGGTCTTCATTCTCTGGAGTGGCCTTGTACAGACGATAATTGTCGTAGCGAATGCGTTCGGCGTGGCTCAATCCAAACGTGGCCAAAAGGACCAGCCCAGCCAAAAGAAGCCACTTGTTCAGCGACATCGTTGTCGATATTATGAAGCACTACAATTCGTGTGTTAAGCTTTTAAAGGGTTTCTCTTTGAATTTCTATTCAATAAATATTTTGCTGATAAGTCCAAACGCTTATTATTTATAGTCCTTGTGAATGTTAAAATAATTAAAAATAAGTAAAAATAATTAAAAATAATCTACGTAAGTAATTGGAGAGACAAACGCTTTTGCAAGACATTAAATTAAAATTCCTCTAGTTTCTAATCTAGTCATGAAGAAGAAGAAAGTTTACAGTAAACAAATACTATAAATATTTATTTATATTGTATAAAGAGATATCTTTTCGATCATAGGGTATTCAGATGTTAAGATTCAAAATGTAACACAAAGAGAAAAATCCTCAAAACTTCCATATCTGTTTTATATCTGTATTTGTATTTGTATCTGTATTTTTATCTGTATCTGTATCTGTATCTGTATCTGTATCTGTATCTGTTTCTGTATCTGTATCTGTATCTGTATCTGTATCTGTATCTGTATCTGTATCTGTATCTGTATCTGTATCTGTATCTGTATCTGTATCTGTATCTGTATCTGTATCTGTATCTGTATCTGTATCTGTATCTGTATCTGTATCTGTATCTGTATCTGTATCTGTATCTGTATCTGTATCTGTATCTGTATCTGTATCTGTATCTGTATCTGTATCTGTATCTGTATCTGTATCTGTATCTGTATCTGTATCTGTATCTGTATCTGTATCTGTATCTGTATCTGTATCTGTATCTGTATCTGTATCTGTATCTGTATCTGTATCTGTATCTGTATCTGTATCTGTATCTGTATCTGTATCTGTATCTGTATCTGTATCTGTATCTGTATCTGTATCTGTATCTGTATCTGTATCTGTATCTGTATCTGTATCTGTATCTGTATCTGTATCTGTATCTGTATCTGTATCTGTATCTGTATCTGTATCTGTATCTGTATCTGTATCTGTATCTGTATCTGTATCTGTATCTGTATCTGTATCTGTATCTGTATCTGTATCTGTATCTGTATCTGTATCTGTATCTGTATCTGTATCTGTATCTGTATCTGTATCTGTATCTGTATCTGTATCTGTATCTGTATCTGTATCTGTATCTGTATCTGTATCTGTATCTGTATCTGTATCTGTATCTGTATCAATATCTCAATATCTCAATATCTATCTCTATCTATTTATTTTATATTTAAAATACCTATATTCTCGTATATTTCTAGAAGTAATGAAACCTTTTTGTTCTTCTACTGTCCTAACATGAACTACTTTCATTAAATGATACAGATCATTTCGTATGCAACTTGTGTTCGCTCTATTCTTTGTTCTGTCATTAAATGAGGAATGATCCCCACAGCTTTGTTTAAATGGAGGCAGTGCATCTGCCTGCACATGCAAGCCAATACATGTTAATACTCACATGGCCTGCCGCTTGGCTCGCTTTAGCTGTGTTTTTTTGTTGTTGTTTTTTTTTTTTTTTTTTTGGTTATTTGGACTGCTTGAAACGGCTCGGGGCCACGTCGTTAGTTGGACTTATTTGGCGCACGGCGTCGCAAAAGTTGGCCCCGCTCAATTGTTTGATTTATTGACGTTTATTGGCAGTTGGCATTTTATTGTGACTATTTTTTGTTACCGCATAGAACTGAGCGTCTGGCGCGACGGGATCGGGTCAGGTGGTAGCCACCGTCGCCACATGGTTTCTTCTGTATACGCTTGTGTGGCCCCCACACGCCACCGTCGCCTTTTCCGCCGTTGGCTTCGGCTATTGGCACTGGAGCAGCGGCGACGTGCCGGCCACGGGTCACCCACTAGCCGTTGACCACTTCGCTTCTATTTGATTGCTTTTTTTCCCTCACTCTCCGTATAGATTTGGTTGGGCTTGTTTTGTGCGCTTTGTACGCTGAATAGCGAATTGTGTTACATATATACATATATACGAAGCAATTGTGCAACATTTCAATAAAAGATTGCTCAACAGTTATTGTTGTTAATGGTATTTAATCCTGTTAACTGTCAAATCCACATTAGCCGACTCTCGACCACCTTTGACTTTAATCAACAGCCTTGTAGAATGCAAACGATATCGCATTTCAGCCAAATGCTCAACTTATAACACTGGCCAACAGGAATGAGCAACCAGCGAGAGCCGATTGAATTGGTTATGCTGAAATAATGATATTGAATGCTTTTAGTTAGATTATGAAGAAGAGAACATGCGAGACAAGAAAAAAAGAGTAGAGCCGAGAAAGAAGAGGGCAGAGGGAGGAGGGAAAAGTGTAGAGTGAAGGCGAAAAAACGATGGGAAAGAGGGAAGATGCATTGGGCATGAGGGAAGAACGAAGAAATAGGAGGAAAATATCAAAACAGGAGAAGAGAAGATACAATAAAATATATTAGATGAAAGAATACAGAATAGAAAAGGAGCGAACATAAAAAACCAGGGAAAGAAGCGAAGAGAAACCCGAAGATACAAAAATCAATGCAACAAACTTAATAAATATTTATGTATTTTAATCTAAAAAAATTCGTTTCACAAATTTTCTTTGCCAAACGATTTCTGATATGCAAACAGATTTATAAATATATATATATATTTCCTCGTATTATTAGCCATTATAGGCTGGCAGTGTGCCCCCCCAACATCCACACCGGCTCGGTCAAAGGTCAAGGCGCAACGCCTTGTGTATCGCTGTATCTAAGCCATAAATACTATATGAAAGCTTCTATGTTTGGGGCCAGCTAGCAACATATTTGGCGTTGATTTATGGCATTTAATTTCATTTTATTGCATACGCAGGGGGTGGCAGTAAATTAGTTGTAATTGCGTCCTTGTCCAAAGAAAATAGAAAAAAAAAAAAAAAAAAACTTGCAACAAAATTGATTAAAAATACTTTAATCCAAATGCCAAATTGTATGGCTTCACGCTGAATGGCCAAATGTGTTAGATCTAACAGGGCAAACGACAAACGATT